TCAAATATATTCGAACTCACATATACATATATAGTCGAACATTAACAGATTCCACTTCAATTTATTTGATTATTTTGAACAAATCATGGAATAGATGATAACTATTTATTCTATTGTATGTTTTTTATGCTGGTTTAACAACTTCTCTTACCTGTCATTGTACATTAAAAAACGTAACTCTTTCTACCATGAAATATTTATATATGAAGTTCTAAATCTTTCCTTTTTTTTTTGAAGCAATAAAAACGACAAACTTCTTGAAGAAAATTACGTTTCGTAATGAAGAATATTTTTGTCAGATTGCAAGTGTCGACTAGACTGTGTTAAGTTTCAAATATTGTTTATCTTTTCTTGATGGGCTTCTAAATCTTCGATTGCTGTAATCAACACGCATATTTCAATGACATGTATTTGGTAGTATCAATTTTCTATCAATCAAAATAGAAAGTTTAAAATAAATATTCATTCATATATGTCCTTGAAAATGTTGGTCATTTATGAGTTCTCTATCCATTTTTATTTCTTTTAAAAATCTTCATTGCTTGTCAAAGCTTGGAATCATGTCTGATTTGCTTGAATAGTTGATTAGATGGTAATAGAACTTGAGCACAAACTATTCATATGATGAAATAAAAATAATCTCGGAATATTTTTTGTTATTAACGAGAGAAAGATTTTATCTATGCAACACATAGAAAATAATTCTGTCATACTTTATTTAATAACATTTCTTTTTAGAAATAAGATCTACTGCAGATAGTTGATATTTTACTATATTATGGATTCCAATAATGTTAGTAATGGTCTGTTAATTGCACCTGTACAATTAAACATTTATCTTGGATTATTCATATACATAACGGGTGTCATCGGCAGTATTGGCAATATAATTATCTATAAGTCTCGATCATTACGTAATCGAGCTTGTTCCATATACTTATTCTGGGGATCTCTTGTTGATCTGATTTATCTGAATTCTGTGCTCTTAACACGTTTATTACAAAAGGGTTTCAAAATACCTATCATGACACGTTATGATGTTATATGCAAGATTCGTCAATTTGCTTCTAATTATGGTAATCAACTTACATTCACCTTCTTGGCATTGGCTACACTTGATCGACTTCTTTTAGCACATCAATCACCTAGTAAGTTCGAGAATACATTTTTCTAAAATATGAATTATGTGTTCTTTGATTATAGCGCTTCGTCGATGGGGTAATCGTGTTCTTCTAGCGAATAAGTTAGTGGTAGCATTTTCGCTGATTTGGTTGGCAATTCTTTGCCATCGCCTTATATGGTATGATACAATCAATGGACAATGTGCAGGTCAAGCAGGTTTCTATGCATACTTCGATAACATATTTAACGCAGTCGTGACATGTTTGTTGCCGATGGTCACCTTAACTGTGCTTGGCATTCTAATTGGACGAAGTGTTCGTCGTGTTGTTCAACGACGACGGGTAGTTCCTACGGCTACTGTCAATGAATCGGCTCATAGTGATCAATCAGCTATTCAAAAAATAGATACACAACTAACAATTATGCTTTTCTTAGATATATTCGTTTCAATGATCTCTTTTTTACCGTATGCCGCACAATTAATATATGCTAATATTACTGGCACTTGGCCAAAATCACCATCACAAGTTGCTTGGGAAAATGTCGTGTCCGAAATTATTAATTTACTATCATATATATTTTTTAGTGGTCCATTTTATGTTTCGATTATCTCATTAAGTGGTTTTCGACATCAACTCTTACGTGCACTTGGCTTGAAAAAACAACAGACAACCACTTATACTCAAAGAGGTGTGACTATGGGAACTACTCAAAATAACACCAACAACCAAACTCGGTTCACTACCTAAAATCGAAGAACACACCGTTGAGAAGAAAGAGACATACGAACTGTAATCTTTATCTTTTTTTTTCAATAAATATATTAGTCAAAAAATAGTTTATTAATCATGAATAACAAGATAAAGTATATAAAAAAATATCCACACCCGTATCGAGCTTCCATTATTCATCAAATCGATATTTTTGAAAGACATGACATATTCTGTCCTTTCATATATTTAAAAAATAATTATCGATAGAAAATGTACGACGTGGGTTTGTCATGCATACAAGAGAACTAAAAAAAAGAAAGATTAATTCATTTATAATCGAATATATATGGATTGAGACAAAAATACTTATTCTATTAATTACGTCTTGTATGAATTTTATTTTTATTACTAGAGAGAATATATTTACATAACCTGAATGTCCTTAACTCATAGAGAGAAAATATGACGAGAGCGACAAATTAAAGTACAAGTACGATCATGACTTCGTCATTGATCAGCAGGGGTTACATTAAAAAAAAAGAAAAGAGAACTATTATATTTATAGAACGAATAAAAAATTCCTATCATAATCAATAATCAGTCTACTACGATGATACTTACTATCTTTCTTCTTGCGATTACTCTATGTTTAATTCTTGGATATATATGCATTCTCAAATCTCGATGTAATTATTTCAAACAACGTGGTTTACCAGGTCCATCACCAGTTTTATTCTTTGGTCATTATCGTATTCTCTGGTCACTTCCTAATCTAAGTGAACAATTACGACAATGGACACAGCAATATGGCTCGATTTATGGATTATTAGAAGGAACACGTCCAATGTATGTGGTTTCTGATGTAAATTTTCTTCAAGAAGTTTTTATCAAACAATTTGCATCATTTAATACACGTTCTATTCCATTTCTTATGAAGAAAGTGAAAGGACATCAAGTTCATATGTTTGGTGCAAGTGGATCAACATGGCATCGACAACGACATATAATTAATCCAACATTTTCTACAGCTAAACTTAAGTTAATGCCATCTTCAATCCATGATTGTATTCAATCGCTGATGAATAAATTGAAAAACTTAGATGAAAAAGGAGAAGAATTTAATATTTATGAAATGTATAGACGATTAACTATGGATGTTATTTGTAAGTATTTTTTATTATTATCTTCGGAAAGAAAAGATATTGAGAATTTTTATCTTCTTCTTTTTAGGCCGTTGTGCTTTCGGAATAAATATGGATATGCAAAATGATGTTAATAATATTTTAATGCGAAAATGTAAATTAGCAATTGATGATAATCCTGAGAGATTGTTTTTAACTAAACTAGGTAATCTGTTACCATTTCTTATTCCAATTCTTCACTATGTCATGATCGGACAAATGTTATTAGGTGCATTTAGTCGTGCAATTGGATCAATGTGGTTTTTACCTAAAATCGAAGAACTTCCAGCATTATGGATACTCAATCAAATTGGAAGTATTATCAATACCAGACGACAAGTGAAATGCGATGATAAACTCCGTCAAGTTGATTTACTTCAATTAATGCTCAATGCAACGATATCTGATGATATTAAAATAACAGATGATTTGAATGATAAATCGATAGCATCAAAACAATTACATAAAGAAGAAGTAATCGCCAATATGTTATTGTTCATGATTGCTGGTTATGATTCAGTTTCAACGGTATTAGCTTCATGTACTTATGTATTAGCTACTAAGAATGATATACAAGAAAAACTTCGAGCTGAAATTGATGAACAAGAATGGAATGATGATAATCAACTCAGTTATGATATTATTATGAATATGTCTTACATGGATATATTCTTACGAGAAGTTCTTCGAATGTATCCAATCGCTATAGCAGCTACGAAAAGAGAATGTAATATGACAACCATTGTTAATGGTCATAAGATTGAAAAAGGTTATTATTTAATCAGATTTTTGAAAGTTTTCTTCAATTTTTTTTTCTTTTATATAGGTGTTGTTATTCAACCTGATGTTCTTAGTATTCATTATGATCGTAATTTATGGGGCCCAGAAGATCCGAATCTGTTCATACCCGAACGTCATCTTACGAAACGACATCCAATGGCTCACATGGCCTTTGGCGCTGGTCCTCGTGGTTGTGTCGGAATACGTTTTGCTTTTATGGAATTAAAACTATGTTTGTCTCAATTACTTCGACATTATAAAATATTACCTGGAGATAATATTGAGCAAGGATTCAAACATCAAGAGACATTTCTCATTCAACCTAATGCTGTTTATATTAAACTTGAAAAACGATGAACTTATTGCTTTAATTGTATCTCTTGTTGTTATTATAATAAATATATTCATAGTGATAGAGACTATTCAATATAAAGATTTGTCGAAATTAAATTTAAACTTTGATTTAAAAAGATATTTAACATCTTGATGGTGTGAATAGGGACGTGTGTACAATGATTCATTACCCACACCCACACCATCTGACACTACCAAAATATGGATTAAATTTTATTTCTTCAATAAAATAATATATTTTCAAAATTAGTTTCTTTTATTTTAAAAATCTGAAGATATACAGATCTGATATCTAATTTTGTTCCAAACGAAATTTAATATTATCAATATAGCATGAGTCTGAATAAAGATTGAATACTACACGAACATGAAAAACATATTCATTATCTTTTGGTAATTTAAATGTATCTTTTGTCTCTTGCCATTGTATGTAATTGCCTGATGATTTAATGTCTAGAAAATAAAATAGAAAAATAGAGAAGTCTTTAAATGATATATATTATTGTTGGCATCAAAAGTAGATGGAGAGGAATAACTCCCTTATTACACATCCACCCTCCAGATGTCAAATATGACTTACAAGGATTAGAATATTTTCTTCTAAATGGCCACTTAGGAGTTAAAATCCATACTTCAATCAGACCTTCAGCGCATTCACTATCGCTTCCAAAATATGCTGATAAAGTGTACTGTAATTCACCACTTTCAATAAATAGCAAATACCTAAGAAGTTCGATTCTTTGTTCCATACAACATACGTTTTCATCAGGACACTTATATGAACAATTTCCGACAAGTGAGTTCGAATAAGATATATTATGATGATATAAAGTCGGTGGACCAATTTCTTCTTCCCATGGCAATTGAATTTTGTTTCCAGAAAGTATTGGACACTAAAATAAAGAGAATATAGTAATATCACAAACAACTTCAACAATCATTGACATTCATAATTCATATACACCTAGCAAATCCAATAAATTAATGAATAATTATCATTGTTGTATCTTAGAATCGATACTATGAATTAATATATACTTACATTTTTTTCAGCATTACCATTTTTCAATATTTCTTCTTTATCAATCACCCAAGTACCATTTGGAAGAACAACATTCTTAAATTGTGAACTATAAAATTGATTAAAATCTATTGTTGAACCAGAAAGATTTGTCTGATCTAATCGAGCCCAACGAAAAATAGAATCGGAAAAGTCTGTATTAATAATGAACGTTTTTAAATCAAATTGAACACCAGTCAAATGTGCTCCTCTAAAATTTGAATATGATAAACTTGAAGAATGAAAATTAACATAATCTAATGATATATTATGAAAATCTGAATAATCCAAAGATACAGAATAAAAATCATGTCCTATATTTTTTTCAAATTCTGAATTGATAATACTAATTCCATTCATTGTTGAACGTGTAAATTCTATTTTACCATTGAATTTACAATCAATAACTGATCCATTCGTTAAAATAACAGATTCAGAAGACAATTGATTAAAATTTGATCGATTAAATTTTGCATAACTTAAATCACAATCTTGAAAAACGACTTTTCTTTTGAAAGTACAATCAATAAAAGATGCATTAATAAGTTTTACTCTATATGCTGTAAGTTGACCTTCAAAAGTTGCTCCAATAAATTGAACATTTGTCATAATTGATCCATTAAAATTTGTATTTCCTTTAAATGTACAACCAATAAACACAGCATTCATTAAATTAAGAGATTGTAAAGATAAATAATCGAATTGATACGAGCCAGTAACTGGACTTTCAATAGTAATATTTTTTAAATGAGCTCCAATTAATGATATAGTCGTATTTGGCGATGATTGATCAGGTAATAAATTATTTTCATAAAGAAATACAAATAATTGACTTCGTCGTTCACTATCAATTGATCGTAGAGTCATGAGAGTTTTTCGACGAATATAAAGCATTTTATTTTCTTCACTAGTAAATATTGTTTGATTATATGGTTGTTTATAAAGTATAGTAGAAATATCTTCAATATATTTCGAATAGAGTGTTTCATAATGTAAATCATATTGTTGTGCACGATCTTCATTACGATTTTCTTCAGCTATTTGACGATCTTGAATTTTTGTTTCATTTGCAATCATTAAATTAGCCATTGCAATTTCCCAATCTTTTATTTGTGTTAAATTAGTAATTTCAAGATCATGTAAACGTGTTATATTGGCAATCATTTGATCTTGTATACGTGTTAAATTAGCGATTTCTAAATCTTTTTCACGATTATTGCTATCGATTTGCATTTGTTGAATATATGAAACTATGGTAAAGATTGCAATCATAAATGGAATAGAAGCTGATAAACTAAGTTTGATTAACATTAACGATCGTTTTTGAGATTTTCTATTCGATTCTGGTGAGAGGATGGCCTTTGTATTACGGTAAATACTCTGGCGAAAACGTCGAGGACGAACCATATTTTAGATTGTGACAAAGAAACAGAATTGCCTTTTTCTCGATAATACTTCAACATACGTAAAGATTAGTATTAGTTTATCTTTAGATGTATTCATTATACAGTGTCCGATTACAAAATATTATTCATTGACAGTTTCAAAAAATGAAATCGATACTTGTAGGTCGTTTTTTTTTACGTACATATTGCGACATAAACTACTTATTTTAGTGAGTCATATTACACATTCGAAAGAAATAACATTGAAATAGTATATCTTTTACAATATTTCTTTTTTTATCGACACTTGTGAAATCGTGTTTTTAACTTTAATATCATATTCGAGTTACTTGAGGATGTGGATGTAAATGAATAATGAACATCCACACCCACACCCTTGTTCTAAACATTGAAATGTATTTATTTTCTTTATTCCGTTTCTTATCGAGTGAAATAATAGTCTGAAATTAATTGTAAATTACATATAAAAATATTCCCATAATTCAAAAAGTGGTAATTGTTCGTCTGTTATTTTACTTTTTTCCAATATATGTAATGTATCGAATTCTACTCTTAACATATAATTTGTTGCTTCAAATGTGTGATCATCGCGAGTTTGAATAATAAAAAGAACTTCTCTCAACACTGGATTCCAGACACTATCCATCATTTCTACATTTTCTCCATTTGTTTTAAATAATAATGTTAGATTTTCATTGCGATACGGAAATTTTCCACTTTCCTTTGGATCTAAATGAAACATGTATACATCTAGTTCGATTGAACCATGTTGCCATGTGCCCAAAATTAATTTTGTTTGTTGAATGTCGTAGGTCATTGTAAGAAAATTATTAACATTTGGCATTAAATGAAAATCAGTAACAATATCTTCTTTTTGACCAACTAAATTCAAATCCATTTTAATCCAATAAGCATTGACTGTGTCACCTTCAAAACGTGTTCGAACTTGTATAATCCAATTTTCATTATAATCAAAACAAGTACATGCAGCAAAACTAAATGCATATTTTTCACCATCCTGTTTTGTATATAATTTAGTTACATTAAGACTTTGTAAATCATATTCTTCAATGAAAAATGTAAATGTACTTCTATCTCTCAAACCAAATAATCGTTTTCGAACGGGATCGTAATAAAGAAAAGCAATATTACCATCGTTGTACATCCAAGGACTTTGATAGTACGTGCTTGTATTATAGTTGTAAGCTAATAGAAAAAGACGTTGAAACGAGGTCGCACCGGTAATAGGCATATAAATAAGACTTAGATCTGGATTTACAGCGACTGGACCACCAACAAAATAGTAGAGATCAGACTGATCGCGTACATCGAAAGTAAAGTTACCCACGAAAGAAAGTGTTTTCGTATCCATGTCGAAGACAGAAAGGTTACCGTAGTGTGGAAAGACATCAGAACTAAAATAATAAACTAAGTCTTCTATTCATTATTTTAAACTCACTCGTGATATGGTTTAATGGTATAATATTTAGCGCTGTAAACAATATTGTAGAACACACTGAGAACTATAATTTTAAATATCATCATTTGCATGTTTAATTTCATCAATGTGTTACTTTTATCTAAAGTGAATATTTACTAAACTTATGCTTTGAAGACAAACAAAGCAATAAGAGAAAAAAAAAACTTTATCAAGATGATATCTCACAACATGACTGAATATATCACTTTTTCATTCGTCATCTTGAGGGTGTGAGTATAGCTGTAGGATTTATTTCGTGCATACATCGTCAAGATAGTCTGATTTGTTACGACATCTTCACAAACTGATCATCTCTTAGCTTCATTTTATTAATTACTACTGTTTATTCTTTGTGAATTTTTTGACATTATGTTTTATTTTATCATATTCTGCTGTACATGTTGATAGACAAAGCAAAATATGACTACCAGCTTAAGGAAAAAAGAGCACCGTTTGCTGTCGTAAAAGACAGAAAAGAAAAACATTTATATCATTCAGATCGTTTCTATGTGGCCAGAATTTATATTACTTTGCTTTTTCTTCTCTATGATTACTAGAGAAAATACATGCGCTTCATATTTAGCATTCTTTTTGTCTTCCTTATCGTCTATTATTATGATAGCGATTGTAGAATTCCTTCTTATATTCGGTAGTGTATGATATTATTTTGCTTGAAGATCATAAAAGAAAGAGGTATAACAAGTGTTTCGTGTAACGATTTTCAGCTTCAAAACTAATAATGATGAATATTCCTACTACATCACTGTATGAATTCGAATGTATTTACTGTCACCAGAAGTATCCAACCGCTCATTTTGATACACATGAAGTAAGTGTTTTAATTCAGATGTAGTAGAATGTGTATAGCGAATACTTTTCTATGAATCATCGTAGGAAAACTGTCCAGACAGACCTGATTCTTCCTTTTATCCATATCAACCACCTACTCCAACTGCGCCGCCTATACCGGATATCCTTGCTAACGGTAGTTCTAATCAAGGTAAACCGTCTCGCGACGTACCCCCGATGACTATCGAAGACCCACCGAAAAAAGAAAACGAAACGAATGGCTGCCTACAATGGATCACGAACAATAAAAAACGTGTTATAATTGTCACAGCAGTAATAATGGCAATACTGATCATAACTGGTGTTGCAGTGGGTGTAACCGTTGGAAGAAAATCAAATATAAGCACAGATGATGGTACTACTGAACTTTCAAGTAAGAATTCGAAAATCGTATATGGTGTGAGTGTGGGTGTGTAAGTAGAACAAAAGAATACTACATCCATACCCATCCGCTCACTTAAATTCATTAATTTTTAATACTAATTTACTAAACTAATTCAGTCTTATTTTTCATGACCGATAAATACAGAAATAATACCACTCGCAACTGTTGCTTTGTTTGTTTATTTAGTCTCAAATTCAACTACATGGACCACACCATTAACAACAAGCAGTGAGTATCTCAAATCTTTTTTTGGCTTCTAATAGGCTACAAATTCATAAGCTGGAAAAAAATCTTGAAGGTATCGGTGTGAGAATCGTCTTGACCTCTCAATTACACCCACACCCTCATTCAGAAGTTATACAAGTGTTAGCCGAGTCCACTATTCATTGAATCGAGAATAATCAATGTGCTTATGTTTTCTTTCTTTAAATATTATTAGCGACAACTACAACCAAACGTCCAGATCCGGAATGTCTATTGTCAACATGGAATGACAACGGCACTACCATCGCTGGTTCTGAAGACGGAGTTCATGGCGATTCGCTTAATCTACTCTACAAACCACGTGATCTATTAATAGATAATAATAACGATATCTATATTTCTGACACACTGAACAGCCGTCTAATAAGATACACATCGAATGCTGCCGAAGGATATCCTATCTTGAACCGTTTAAGCATACGCGGAATTGCTTTGAGTGCAGACGAACAAGCCATTTATCTGTCCACCTTTGCATTCCATATAGAGCGTGTTGAACGAATTAACAAGAACGGATCAGGTGTAAGTACTGTAATCGTACCAACGGAAGTTTTTAGCGTTTGTTATAGTCTCGTTGTTCGACTAGAAAATACTTACATTTGTGACACAAATAATAATCGAGTGATTTTATGGTTTAACGCTAATTCAAGTTTTGATGTGGTTGCTGGCGGAAATGGGTTTGGAACTGATTCTGAGCATCTGCAAGCACCTGAGGGAATATTTGTTGATGATGATCTAAATATTTACGTCGCTGATACACGTAATCATAGAATACAACTTTGGAAAAAAGGAACATCAAGAGGAATAACCGTCGCTGGAAATCCTCTCTCACTTGCTGGATCTGGTCTTGGAGAACTGAGTTCCCCGAGAGCAGTTATTATTGATAGCCGTGGTACAATGTTTATTGCTGACGCTGGTAACCATCGAATCTTGCAATGGTTTAAAGATGAGATTCAAGCAAGATCAATACTTGTAGGAAGTACTGGCACATTTGGATTAAATCCGAATCAATTGAACAATCCTACAAGTTTAAAATTTGATACTAAGGGAAATCTCGTTGTAGTGGATAGTGACAATAATCGCGTACAAAAGTATTTAGTTGATAACAGTCAATGTTAAATGAAAAATCTATATTTTATGCTATTTTCCCCTATTTGAATTGAACAACTGCAAATGAAACAAACAATTTTACTTTTTTTAATTATATTATTCAAGACAACTTTCTCAAACTTGAGAAAGATCAATACTCTATTCTTTTCAAAGATTACGTTTTTTCAGACTAAAAATAAAAGATCATGCATGGTCAAAGTCGTCTGTTCATTATGGAAGCTTCCGTTTCAATATCTCCATTTGTTGATTGTATTGACGTTGCTGTATTGAAACTAGTTTCGGCTGTAGTAATTGTTGTTGACGTCGTTTCTGTTACAAGCTTTTTCGTGGTTGTACGCTTTGTCGTTGTAGTAGGTGTGAG